TTTTTGTTTTCTTCACGATAAACCAATGGCTGTATTGTGGTTAACAGCTATTGGCATCCAAACAGTGTGTGATAAATCTTATGTGTGGCTGAATGTAACACTGATTAACGTTGCTGGGATTTAAACATCAAACAGCAGCAAAATCCAGTAAATTCATCATAACAGGAGGTTCAAAATGCAACCCTCCAGGCCAAACAGACCTGTCCAGGTATAGCATGTCCCTGTTTTGACTGTTCCTCATCCATAATTAGTCCACTGTGATGTTTGTACTGCAAATCACTTCCCCAAAACCTGCAACTGCCGGGTTAATTTCCACTGCCAAGCTGCAGCATGCCTGAATAGGTGAAATCCAGATATGGACACATAGAAAATAAACTGTTTGAGTACCAACAAATTCAAATTCCAAAGTTTTGTTTTAAAGAGCTGTAGATTATGTTGGAACATTTAATGTAAGGTGGAGAACAATGAATTACCAGAGTGGCTCTGCAGAGGTGAGCAGATTCTTCAAAGTATGGCTGCCCTCTGTTGGAGAAATTGGTAAACTACATAAGCGTAATATTTAGATGATGGATGGACGGACGGACAGATAGGTCACAGTTTATAATTTTACATGTTTTAGCACTTTGCAGTCAATTGAGCTTGCCAACACAAAGTAGTGCACTATTTTTCATTCCTCTTCTCATAATAAAGCTATGCAGTTCTTTATCCTTAATAATAATTCAGTGTAAGGGCTTGTCTCCAGATGTGCACTAACTCTGGAGGAGCTCCAGAGACCTTCTCAAGTAGGAGGATCTGTTGACAGGAAAATGGTTGAATAAAAGCCATCAATACAGAACATCATACTAGAATATCAGGAAATAAAAAAACATGCAGGAAGATGTTTTGGTCATATGAGAACAAAGGGGAACTTTTGAGCATATTTGCAGTTGTGGTTAAACATTAATACTGCACACCACTCAACCCATCATCCCTACATGAAAATATGGTGGCAGCATGGGAAAAGTTGATGACAGAGCTGAAGGTGTAGCAGAATGAATATAAAGCATAACATCTTTAAAAAGCTGAAAACAGTTTAGAACTTGCAAGAGGTTTTCCTTCCTTCAGAACATCCCTAAATGGAAAGATTTGAATACAAACTTCTGTTGTTTACCTGTTAGGATGGTTCAGTTCTAGGTCCATATCAATAGAATTTAAAGTATTAAAATAAAGGATAGGTTTAATGTTGAATATATGAGAAAAGTTAGGGTAAATGTCATGGTATGAGTACTTTTACAGGGGTCCTATTTGTTAGATTTGGCTGAGCATCTTGGATTTTATCCCTCCTCAGGTGACAAAGGTTTGAAAGGTTTCGATGGACCAGTTGGACTCAGAGGAAAAGCTGGTAAGATGAATTCTGGCTTCCTCATTTCAGAATATTCCGACCCATTCTAACCATGTCTTGTCTTTTTCTATAATTATGAATATGCTTGACTACACTCAGTGTTTTCTTTTGCTAACATTTATAACTAAACTAAATTTGTCACAAAGGAAAATCCATAATATTTACTTTTCGACAAAGATTATTCAGCATTTTATAAACTTGAATTAGCAGGTAAAATATCATAGTCATTTGATTAAAGGCAGTAGGTTGAATTAATGCCTGTTTTACCCATCAGGTGCAACATGTGACTGTGGGAGATACAGGAAGGTGGTCGGAAAGCTTGATGTGAACTTAGGGAGGCTGACAAACACTGTTAAGTTTTTAAAGAACGGTGAGTTGTTTAGGACATTTTAACTTTGCAGGGCATACTGAGAAATACACAAAGATGAGATCAAATGAACTGCCCATGTGGTTTCACGATTTAAGGTGAACTTCCTTTAATGTAGGGGAGTGTTGGCCTAGTGGTTAGAGCAGTGTGCTTGTGCTCTGAGAAGGTTGCAAGGTTTCCATCGCCTCAGCTTCCACTCTAGGTTCTTGAGCAAAACCCCTTAACCCCACACTGCTCCCCGGGCGCTACACAATGGCAGCCAACTGCTCCTCAAGCGGATGGGTCAAATGCAGAGAATTTCCCCATTTTGGGACAATATAGAGATTTACATTTCATCTTTCCAGGTCATTAAAATATTATGCTTTTTATTTTATTCTGGAAATTGACCTGAATTCTAAGTGCAACTAATTACAAGTTGAGAAACATGCTTGTTAAAGATGTCATCGGGCCCTGCCAGTGTAAACATCGAAAATACAATATATACAAAAGAAGGAAAAAATCCAGATTTTCTGCAATGTAAACACTCATGATGTGAATGAAATGGAAATACTGCCTAGACCTCATGTGCAGCCACTCTTATTTTTGTAAAGATATCGCTATTCTTTAATTGGCTTTGATTTTCTTGGATATCTTCATGTAAAGTGGTCCTGGGCTTGAAGGAGGACAAGGAGAGACACTATCTGCTTGTTAAGGAGTCCAAGAAATTCAGAGAAGCTTCAATGAACTGCAAGCTTAGAGGCGGCACCTTGGCCATGCCAAAAACCAGCGACATCAACCGTCTCATGACTGGCTACATCACTCAGGCAGGACTGACGAGGGTTTATGTTGGTCTGCAGGCTCAAAGTAAAGACACGGTAAATGTTTTGGAAGGACAGAACTGCTGCTTTTAAAGCAGCTATGTTTTACATTATTCCCACTGCAAGTTACTGAAAAATGTATTTGTTTTTCTTAAAGGATGGAAATGGTGGTGGTTACATTTATGTAGACTCTTCTCCTCTGCAAGAGTTTTCTGCGTGGACCCCAGAGGAGCAGCTTCATTCCAGGTTATCTTCAAACACCAGCTCCAGCTGCGTGGAGCTGCACAGCACTGGGACCTGGAATAATGTGGAGTGTGAAGCTACCCTGTTCTTCATCTGTGAGTTCCCAAAGAGCCAAGGAAAAGGAGGAGTGCCTGCTTCCACGTCACAATGAGATTTAAAACCAAGGAAGATCTAAATTACTTACCGGTAGTATTGATTAGGATGATGTTTTGTCTGCTTCACCTGCATGAAGCTGAATTTTAAAAAAATGCAAATCTATCCCATTATTATATATATATACAAGATAATATCTGGATTTTCCAAATACTGCTGTCCAATCACTGTGGTTCTTCAAATATAGCAACATTGGCCAAAGATATGTATTTAATACCTGTTTTCTTTGCAAAAATCTTAATTCTACAATATTTTTTCTTCTTCTTTTTTTTGTTTCTTATTCAGCTTTTAGATGATGTTTCATCTTAGACCCTATGTTATGTGTGGCATTTAAAAATAATAAAGTTAGCAAACATTTAGTTTGTCTCTGAATAATTGAGCACACACACAGATGCTTGTTCTGCTATATGTAGTGAGGATCATGTGTTGGCTCCCCTGGACTTACATTAATGTTCAGTCATTTTAAACCCTTTCTATGCCCTGATCCTAAAACTAACCCTAAACCTAAACATTACCAATGCATACATAAACCTTGCCCTAACCCAATTGACAACTTAGCCCTAAAATTAACCATTAGCAAAAAATACGTTGTGAGGAACAGCAAATGCCCTTTCTTTAAAACAGCTGGTCCTCATTGTGATGGAGAAGTAAAAAAAAATATGGCCCCCACTCTGGTTTCTATGTAAGTGCAGACACACAAACACAGCTTTGTTTTCATGACATATGGGGACATTTCATTCACTTGCATTTATTTTATATGGCCTAACCTAGACCCTTACCCAAACCCTACATATTACCAACATATCCCTAACCCTAACCTAAACTGAGTTCACACCGTAGTCCTAAACCTAACCCCAAATTAAAGAACAGAACATTACCATATGGGGAACAGTTGAATGTCCCAATATGTACCTATAAGTCCCAGCATGTAGGACATGTAGGACATTTTACAAAATTATTCCCCACATTGTAGGTAAAACCAGACCACACACACACATTAATTCCTAAACAGCTTTATTCTGCTTAGGATCCTTAGGCCTTGATGAGAACTTAGGAAGGCTGTAACATTTCCAGCTATGAGGCCTCCTCTGAGAACATGCACAAAATATAATTTCCCTCATAAATATGGCTAAAATAAATGAGTAAATTTGGTGACTCATACAAATGAAAAATCACATTTTAATATAATAAGCACAGTCATCATAAAAATCAAAGAGTTGTCAAAGAGTTAATTTCATTCAGCAATCACTTCACTTACTAAAACATAAATTAGTTATACAGACACTGGTGTTTTCAGACATACATTTATGTTGATATCTTGATTTTCATGCGTACAGCTAAAGGAAACAACATTTATGACCAGGATATTACATCTGACCATTAGAAGAAATATTTTGAAACAGAAATGTAATCTTTCTGAAAGTAAAAGAAAAAAAAAACATCATTAATACATGTCAATTTTAAAGCCTTTATTATGACAAATGAGCCCCATCCAATCAAATATTATAATATATTGGACATATATTAAATTATTTGTTACATTTAAAAATCGATTATATTAGGGCGATGAGATGAGCAGCTATTACAAAAAAAATCTAAATCTTCAAAATGACAAAACATACGTATATTTTTTTCTTCTATCATGTTTTCACAATCAAAATCATACATGGATTTGCATTTCTGCTTGTCTAAAATTCAACACCACAACATGACATCCATCTTAAACATTATTTAGAAGCAGCTGTAGAAAACGCTTTAAATGCATCAAGTAGACAAGTAAAGGCAAATAATAATTGAAATACCCTCGTTTCTGTTCTTAATTTTATCATCAATGTTATCTTTATCTTTTTAGTGAAGATATTTGAATGCAAAAGAATTTCCCATGCTAATAAAAAGTATTTCAAAAGATGTATTTCTTTTTTTGCTTTTGTGAAAGTACCAAATAAACAGGATAAACATGTATTATTATCTAAAGAGCATGTTCACACCACCATACCCGAGAAGAATCCACAAAAACAAGTTCATCAAGTCTCATCACTTGACCCACAACTGTTTACTGCTGGTTGTTGCTTGATGATGGACAGGGTTGATAATAAGAACCAAACATCAGCAGAATTCTGTTTGCGGCCAGAATCTGGACATGTGTGACACTTTCAGGTGGACTCTATGTTTGGGTCTAACCTGGGAGGTAAAGTTTGCTTAAAGAAATGGCTGCAAGGACATATTTATTTACCAGGAAATACAACCAGTTGCTGTACAAATCCCATAGAATGGAAGAACAGCTCCATCTACTGTGTGGTCTGCAGTCAGTACTGCTGTTATCTTTGGTTTTGACTGCTGGGGTATGTTAGGCTAATAACCTTTTAGAATATTTTAATATCATATAGTTTAGAAAACATGTTGTTATTAAAGGAAATCCAGTTATTGTTACAAAGGTAAAAGAGATTCTGGTTCATCTTTAGAGCTGCAGATTTGAAGCTTTAATAGAGAAAACAATACAGCTTTTATTTTTCACCATTTTTGTCAACATAGTTTTCATTCTCTAAGGCGGGACTTGAGAACCACAGGGCTAGGCTTTTATCAGTCCTGGATTTACCTCTCATGAAGTCATTTTTTTTGTTGATTTTGCAGAACTTTGTCTGAATGCATTTTTTTGTGTGTATGTATGTGTATACATACATATATATACATACATATATATATGTATGTGTATATATACATATATATATATACATACATATATATGTATATATATATATATA